TTTACAATTTAAAAACAATATTAGTGGAAACTTTACAATTTAAAAACAATATTAGTGGAAACTTTACAATTTAAAAACAATATTAGTGGAAACTTTACAATTTAAAAACAATATTAGTGGAAACTTTACAATTTAAAAACAATATTAGTGGAAACTTTACAATTTAAAAACAATATTAGTGGAAACTTTACAATTTAAAAACAATATTAGTGGAAACTTTAGAATTTAAAAACAATATTAGTGGAAACTTTACAATTTAAAAACAATATTAGTGGAAACTTTACAATTTAAAAACAATATTAGTGGAAACTTTACAATTTAAAAACAATATTAGTGGAAACTTTACAATTTAAAAACAATATTAGTGGAAACTTTACAATTTAAAAACAATATTAGGTGGAAACTTTACAATTTAAGTAAAGTTAAATGGCGTGATAAAATAGTAAATTTGTTTTCGTATTGGCCACTATCCCGTGCCTGACTTTAGACTTCGTATTGGCCACTATCCCGTGCCTGACTTTAGACTTCGTATTGGCCACTATCCCGTGCCTGACTTTAGACTTCGTATTGGCCACTATCCCGTGCCTGACTTTAGACTTCGTATTGGCCACAATCCCGTGCCTGACTTTAGACTTCGTATTGGTCACTATCCCGTGCCTGACTTTAGACTTCGTATTGGCCACTATCCCGTGCCTGACTTTAGACTTCGTATTGGCCACTATCCCGTGCCTGACTTTAGACTTCGTATTGGCCACTATCCCGTGCCTGACTTTAGACTTCGTATAGGTCACTTTCCCGTGCCTGACTTTAGACTTCGTATTGGCCATTATCCCGTGCCTGACTTCAGACTTCGTATTGGCCACTATCCCGTGCCTGACTTTAGACTTCGTATTGGCCACTATCCCGTGCCTGACTTTATAATTGTTAATTAAAAACTGTGGAGAATGGAGATTTGTTACTTTCAATTTTTCCCCAGGGAGCACAAATACGCCTCATAATAGTTTTTAAAAATGAAATGGATTTGATCAATAATTGAATTTTTTAGGTACATATACCAAGGGTTGTGAATAAAGTTTTCTGTAAAAATAAAATAGTTCTATAAGTTATCCATATTATGTTTTACAAGATGGAGCAGCTTGACATTTTGGACTCAGCCAAAATCTGCAGTTTGTCAACTTGACCATAGACATCATCCAGTACATCAGTTCCATTACTTGCATTTTTTATTTCTCCCCTGAGCTCGTTTATTTTTCGAAAGAAAAGATCTGCTTCATGGCTATTTAGTTTTTTTTTCTTCTTAATTTCTTCTTCTAAATTTTTCATTTTTTTTTGAAAATCATCTGTCAAATCTTTCTTTTTCGATGTTACTAACAAATAGTTACGAGACTTCTCTGACCTTTTATAGTTTTCCAAAGTGTAAACCTTCTTCTTATTTTTTAAAGCTTCAGCTGCTACAATCATACCTTTACTAGCTTCCAATCTTCTACCAGAGAACTCCCCTTTATTAGTGGTGGCAACAACCCTGTCTCTAAATTTAGCCATCAGTTCTTTAACCTTCCCTTCTTGTTTAGCGCACCAGGTTGAAAAATCTTCCTCAAGGTTATCACCACGAGTGAAGACAAGAACGCCAAATTCTGAGAAAACATTATTTCCAAAAATCGCCTCCAGTGTTTCGATGGTGGTCATTTCCTCTTGAGAAAGCTTTGCTCCTAAGGCAAACACCAAAAAAAATGCATGCACACCACCATCCTTAGTGGCAGCTGCTATCATGGACTCCATAAGTGGACATGTTTTTGCAATGTCTGCAGTGGCGCCAGAGCCGTTTACATATTCTGTGTCAAATGGTCCTGGTGTATCAAAAACTTGAACTTGATAATTATCTATAGGACTCTTGTTCCTCTCAACCATTTTGGTATAGGAAGTCGCATTATTGCTAACGTAGAAGCAATTTTTTCGTGAGATGGTATTTCCAGTCGCACTTTTACCATGGCCAGTCTTGCCTAGTAGAACAATGTTCAGGTTTTCCATCTTGTTTTTTTTTTTAACTGGGGAGGGCGGAAATAAAAATATTTAGTTACAAAACTGATATGATTAAGAATGCAATCGAAATCTTTTTTTTTTTTTAAATGTAGGTTCATGAAACGTTTCTAAAGTGATGAAACTTTGTGCTAAGTTTGAAAACAATGGACCACAGTCGCAAAGAAAATGAATGTGAAAATTTTAAGGGTTTAATTTCTGTCTTGGTTTTAATATTTCTGCAAGGTAATTTTTACATTTGTATTATCTTATATAGGATAAGTAAAAAGTTGGTTTACTGCACTACAAAAGGGATCCTCTCTTTCTTTCTACTTAGTGTCACACTTAAATTTCTCTATCTCATGGAGTTTGATAAAAGATTTATCAACTATTATAATACAATTTGCATTGTTTATTTATTGTTAATATATATGTGCAAAGGTCAACATGAAACGCTGTGTTCAATAAGGTCCAAACGAAAGTTCTCCACCAAACTTTGTGAAATTGTATGTTCTTAAAGTCCACAAGTTAAAATTCCCATTTCTAAACTAGAAGATATAACCCGATGTCACCAGGAAAAACAGGTAGGTCTTATACGATACAACCTAGCTGTTATGGCGAAATCTCAACCCCATAAATCCCTTAATTGCGTATATAACTGAAACAGGTTTCTTTGTTTGTATACTCATAAAAACAACAAAGCGACAGCATTCGAAGTCCTTGAAATGGGTATTTATTAAAGAATTTTCTAACATTTTTTTGGAGAAAAATCTAGGCCTCTATTTGATGTCATATTAACTTACCCTCCGATTTTTGACACTCATGAACTGAAATGTTACATTAAGAAATGGCGTCAGCGGGCCATCGAGCTTGTGCTCTCTGTGCCCTCCCCAAAACACCCCATCCCAACCCGGTATCGGGCCGCGGAGCGGCACGTCGGGGATATCCCATTGTCAGGACAGCCCCCACCAGAGTCTGCTCGACCAGGGTCTCCGCTCATGAACTACAATTTTCTTCTACTCTGAATAGTATAAATGTGTCCTTAAATTTACGACAGCAAAAATATATAACATTTCAAATATCTTTAATATTAACGAAATTTTATCTATTTTATAAATTATATATTGGGATCTTTACAAATTAACAAAATGTTTGCCTCATATCTTTACCATATTATTTGAAAATTAAAAAAAAAACGCATAATTCTTTTATCTAAAGATGAATCTATTGAGCTATTTTAACGTCTGTAACTGACGGGTTTTTTTGTGTTAAATCTTATTATTCTCATACAAATTTACACCACTACTCCACGAACTCTACTTTTCACACTGTGGAAAAAAAGGTATATTTTCATATTTTGAAAGAAGATTTTTACCCGTCTTTTTCACGCCCACAAACTGTAAGGATAACATATGGCTATGTCCTCAAGAATAATTGATAACGTAATTAAGTTTTGGGATAATTTTTTGAGGTATCGGTATACTTATGTAAATGTATTCAGGTTTTCCAACGCTTTTGGTCTTTATTTTTTTAATTGGATAAAAAATGATTTATTCTTATTTTTAAAAATATAACATCTCTTTTTATCACTCTAAAGTAACTGCATTTAAGAAAGTTGTATCCACATAAAAAAAGAAGACACTCTATTTACTTCACCTTATATGTTTTTACCGAAAAAGTTTAATTAGTTATCAAATTCATTTATTCATTCTTTAGTGTATCTTGTGGTGCCTGTGACAAAATAAAAGTATCGAATCGCCTCCCATGCAGTTTTTAATAAAAATGAATAGAATCAACCACTGATGGTAGCCCCTTACGTACGCAACCACACATTTTTGCACGCACTTGAACTTTATTAAAATTCCAAAATTCCACTATCATTTTTTATCATGTCGTTTTAAATTTTCTTTTAAAAAAATGAATTCTTGGCATAATTCCGTATATTGATGTATTATAGTTATTTATTATAACATTAAAATATTAACCAAAGTTAAAAGCGGTAATATAACTGGGTTTTGATATATTGATATAAAAATGAACTAATTGCTACTCCTTATGGTTTGTCAACATTTGGATGAGTGATACGTAAACGAGTTAGTGGCATTTGGCTGTGAATTTTAGTTGCACTTAATGGCTTAAGCGGCATTTTCTTGTTATAAGCAATTTTTAAAAAAAATCACTTTATAAATTTGATGAAAGTACATTTTTTAAATGCAAAATATTAAAATTTATAAAATTGTAAAAATACAAAGCTAACGTTTTGTGTGTATTATTAAATTTTTAAAAGCAATCAATTATATTTATTTATTTTATTTTGTTTAAAATTGGGAAATTATTATAAAATTTGTCAAAGGCTGTAATTGAATCAGGTGATGTTTAACCTTGTGATTTGCGAGTTTAAATTGAGTTCTTATAAGATTTTTCCAATTTTTCTTTCATCGAGTTCTATAAAAAAAAAATTTTTAAATTAATGTGATATTCTTTAAAGAATATTGGATTACAAAACTTTATATTTAATATTGTAAGATAAAAAATGCAATTACAAAACAAAAGATGTTTACGGTTTATCGATAACTGTGATTAGGATTTAATAATAGTAGAATTTAAATATTTATTTTTATTAATAACTAGAAAATATTACCCGATGTTATCAAGATAATTTTGGCAGGTACTTTGCGATAATTTACACTTGCTATTTCAAAAACTGTTTTCGATTCCTTACTTTCTTTTAAAAATTTTCTATGTATGACTTTTTACGTTTCTAACATCATGAAAAGTTTTAAGAAGTGTATTTCTGCAATATATTATACGCTTACTCTACCCATTGCGCGCCCTTCAACTACCCTGTTTTCTATTAATATGACTTAAATTATCAAATATAAATGATCAATAATAAATCAATATTTTTACTTAAGGAGTTCATTAACGGCTAATTTCTGCGGTAGAGAAATATTGTAAATGTCATTTCCTTTTCAAGTGTTAAATGTTGACCCTACACTACCACATTTCGAGTCCCTAAACTAAATTGTATATTATCTAAAAATTGTGAAACCTTAATCTTATGTTTAAAAAATAACTCTACATACCATTGGAAATGTAAACATAAAAAATTAAACCAAACTATTGTTTTCTATTATATTATCAGAAAATCGTTTAAAAAAAGATTGGCAACTCCTGTGTGAAAGAAAGAGCATATAAAGCCTTTATCCGTCCGATTTTAGATTATGCATCTTCAGTCTGGGACCCATTTACGCAGAAGAGCATTGACAGGTTGGAGGCGGTCCAGCGACGAGCAGCACGCTTTGTCCTAAACCGCTACAGGAATACCTCTAGTGTTGGCAGCATGCTAGAAACACTAGGCTGGTCACCATTGGAGAAACGACGACGACAATCCAGGCTCTCCATGATGTACAAGATAAATAATGGGCTGGTCCACTGTTCCAGTATTAAACAGAAACTCGTCCCTCTCCCCCATAGACAGCGACGAGGCCATGACAGGCAATTCAGGCTCATACCAGCAAGAAGCCAGTATAGGAGCTGCTCATTCCTGCCCAAGACAATCAGGGACTGGAACCATCTTTCAAAAGGAACAGTTGAGGCGACAACACTAGACGCATTTGTGTCTATTGCCTCAAGCCTTCAAACCCCTAGTGCATAATTTCCTCATCACCACCAGTAACAGAAACATTGCAAATCCCATCTACATGCATAGGAGCCAAAATGATCAATAAATTGATCGTGGGCCCTTAAGATATAGAAGAAGAAGAAGAATCCTTCTATCAAAGAAAAGCGTATTAACCGTTGTTCACGTCTGTAACAGATGCTACCAACCTCGTCTTACTAAATAGGTTCGTTGGCTTCGTTGTCTAGGCGGTTTAGTTATACACACTTCACAATTATAATTCTTATATGAAATATCTTTATTAATCAACTAATTCTTCAACTGCCATTACTGTAATCAAAGACCATACTACCACACACTCTACAATAATAATACGTCATATCCCCTTTCGCGCAATATGTCACAAAATATTCAAACATTTAATTACAACATCTACTCAAATACTCTCTAAACAACACGCAATCACACAATACATTCAAGTCCTTAACATTCCTGCCCCCCTTCCTTTGACATTAATGTGAACAATTCATGTCACCCACAAATGTGTCTCTCAAAATTTGACAATAAACATCAAACGATAAACAAGATTATGTACCAAATGTAAACCAATTAATTGAAATATTAAATTTTAAAATTAAGTAACATGTATATTAAGTTACAAACAGACTTATAATATATTTCCACGCCAAATTTGTAACTGACCTAGTAACATAAAAATTGTTAGTATCACCTCCCAACTCAACAAAGTCAAACCTTTAAATACAACTTACTTCTGAGCAGTTCCTGCTCTCAAACATAATATAGCATCTTCACGTGTACATTATGAAAACAAAAATTCTCTAATCTAACGCGAACAATTGGGGGGAAAAAAAACTAGTCTCCTCCATGTAACTAAGGTAAAAACCATTAGCAAAATTGTCTGAGTCGGAGATGGACTCGACACCCCCCTCCCAGTCTTAGGAATGTCCTTGACAAGCTCACGACCTCTACGTCGTGATTACCGTAGCTTGTCCAGGTCCAAACATTTTCGAACCTCGGACAAGATCCAAATCTCCCTCTTGTCAAGAATCCCAGCGTCGCCCAATATTTATTTATTTAGGCATTATTATATAGCGCTTACCATAAAGCTCTAAGCGCTTTACAATTATTAAAAACATGTAAACTAAGTAAATAAAAATGAGACACTAGGATAGTAACTACTTTACTATAGAAACAATGAAAATGGCTATAAAACGAGGACACTTTGACACGTTTTGGCCTATACTTCAGGATCAACCCGAAACAGAAAATATCGCAGTGGTTCGCATAATCATCCCCCGTACTTAGGCATGTTCAAAACAGTAGCATCTAAATATTGCTATGTCCTAAAGATACTGCCTAGGTGACTAAATTCTGAATCCATCGTCAGGATATCTTGCACGAGGATTCCATTATACCGCCTTGACTAGTTAAAACACCTGTCTCAGGCACAGGAGTATAGTGTCTGTACTCAACTCTACTCATTGCTATGTACAAAGACAAAACCAAACATGATACATTTAAAGTTATGGAATAAAATTAACATTTATTTTTCCATAGAAAGAATACAATATAATTTGATAGTATTATTATCATGAAAATTAATTCAAAACAAACAACGACTTACAAGATTATTATTAATATATTAATGTCATTCATAGCACAATAAAGGTATTTTTTATTTAACACACACGAAATAATACCAACCACCAATACTTTCATGAACAAGAAAACAATCATTAATAATTAATGGCATATATGTACAGTTTTGTCCCATGCGCAAATGGGCCTAATATGGGTCATGTATAAGGTTTTCTTAAACTAATCTTAAAAAAGAAGTAACTTCGGTTTGAGCAATAATTGTCATAAGCTCTCTCTAGCTCATTGCAGCCACTTGCATTGGTCGAATTCTTTTTTGTTGAGGAGTGGTTGCTAATTTCTTAAGCTCAAGAGGGCATTGTCGGTGTTGTTGAATATGCTTGTGATGCAAAACAGATGTTATACGTTTCAAGCAGCGATCTTATTATTGTTATTCACTTTACATTCACCTAATTCTCAAAATATTGTATGCCTACTCTATCATTATCATATATGTTGACTGCACATGACACTTGAATCTTGTCCTTGTTCCATACCTGCAACAGAATCTACTGGTGAGGAGAGGCCAACTTTTAACTTCTCTTGCACTAACAAATTGTGCTAACATTCTAACCAGCCATCTGCTGTGCACAGACAGCCACACATGAAAAATAATCTTATGCTGTTAAAGGCCTAAAAACTATATGACTATTTACACTCATTGACAGTTATAATTTTTTTTAATAATGTAATAACCAGTAATTTTTTAGATTAAAATTTTAATAGAGAAAACATGGTTTTTGACGTCAACTAATCTAACCCCCCCTCCCCCTTGTCAAAAACTGTCAAAACATTTCCAAAAACCCTCTCCCCCTATTTCGTAAATAATGCCGAAATAGTGAACGCCGTACAATTCATTGGAGTGCCTACATTAAAATCTTGGCTATTTGCATTATTTGAAGATCACAAAAAAACAAAATTGGAAGTTTTAAAACAAGTGCACGCCTTAACGTAATTTTGGTGCTCGTAACCGACACACCAACGACAGACAGGAGTTCAACGACAGACAGGAGTTCAACGACAGACAGGAGACAGGAGTTCAACGCTAGACAGGAGTTCAACGCTAGACAGGAGTTCAACGCTAGACAGGAGCTCAACGCTAGACAGGAGTTCAACGCTAGACAGGATTTCAACGCTAGACAGGAGTTCAACGCTAGACAGGAGTTCAAAGCTAGACAGGAGTTCAACGCTAGACAGGAGTTCAACGCTAGACAGGAGTTCAACGCTCGACAGGAGTTCAACGCTAGACAGGAGTTCAACGCCAGGAGTTCAACGCTCGACAGGAGTTCAACGCTAGACAGGAGTTCAACGCTAGACAGGAGTTCAACGATAGACAGGAGTTCAACGATAGACAGGAGTTCAACGCTAGACAGTAGCCCAAAGATTGGCAATAGTCCACTGAGTCATCCGACACCTGAGCTCTGTGGCTTTCTTCCGTGGGGGGGGGGGGGGGGGTCTTTTTTGGCTTAATGCTAAGCTTGTTTTAAATCATGATATTTTGAAAATAGTTTGTTGTACGTTGGGCTTTCTAGTTTCCTGGTGTTTTGCTTTTTCCAGAAAAACAACGAACAAAAACCACTCTCATCCCGCGAGCCCGGGCAATCACAGGAAAGAAAGAATCATTAAATTTAAATTAAAAACTGAATTTAATAATAAAAGAGTTAGTTTTACAATTTCCACTATTTTTATTGTCTATTAATAAAGGAAAAGCTATGTTAAGGTCAGTTGAGACTTAGGTCACTTGCGACTAGTTGCTTCATTACCCAGGGCCCAGCCCTAGTAATTAGTAACTAAAACAATAAAAGCCTGTTACGCACAAGTGGGACATGGGTTTGTGATCATCTGCAGACAACAATCTTTATTCTTTAATTTATCTTTGAATCATTATCAGGTTGAAAATTATAATTTACTAGCAATATGCAACAAAGTGTGCATTTCGAATAAAAAACCACAATTATCAATGATAATACAATGATATTGTGTATGCTTAGATGAAAAGCTAGTTTTAATATATTTTCATTCCCAAGAATTGACCTTATTTAAAGGCCCTTTTTCAATATGTCGATGGCAATTTGCTTTTACGTAAATATGGTCATGACTTTGAAACGCTTGAGAACCCTTGTACCAGATTTACTTAGCTGAAAACTTTGAGTCCAGTTAACTAGGTTGACGTGTCCTTGATAATACCAACAATATGTTATGGGGAAATTTAAAAGAAAAACAAATACAAAAAGGTATTCTAAAAGATTGTACCAGAAATTCTTTTTATGACAGCAGAGGCGTAGCGAGAGTGTTTGGCGCCCAGGGACAAGATTCCCTTTAAAGCGCCCCCTTTTATTTTTTCCACTCTCAAACCGATTTTTTCATCAATCAAATAATATCAAAGCACATTTTGGCGCCGCTAAGTAGCTGGCACCCAGGGAATCTGTCCCCCCTGCCCACCTTCGTTACGCCTCTGGCTGAGAGGATTTTCAGGGAAATTTTGTTTTGGAGCCCTAGTTGTTAAATGCAAAGTGCATGATAAGTTATGACCAAGACTGAAATGGATCGACGATGTAGAGAAAGGCTTACACCAGTTGGGGGGTTCGCGCATGAAGGTGGAAAGCCATGGATCGATCCGAATGGAAGGCTGTGGTGCAGCAGGCAGGGCCATACATAGACGGTAGCAAAACTGATGATGATGAATTATTACGCAACAAGTGTTACTGAGGAAATCACTAACTGGCGTGATGTATCTTTATGATATAGAGAGGATTTGTGTCGGTATTTGTCGTGGGAGAGGGGGCTAGAGGTGGATTTTAAATCTTAAATATAAAGTGGAACTTAATCTAAACAATTGAATTTTGTTTAATTAAATGTTAAAATGGTGTATTTACAAAACGAATTTGAAAGCAACATTAAGTTTATGCAAGTTTGTCAAGGGATTGCATTTGATTCAATGGTTCCATTATTAACATGTGATCAATGACATACTTACTAAGCAAATCAGTACTGATGATAAAATAGGTTACTCCTAATTATCATAGTTCGTTATAAATAATCCCCGAGACGATGTCGGTTCTAATAGTGACGGATTTGAATATCGACATACACAATAAGAAATATGTTTCACAAAAATCTGAAGATACTTGGAATTATATAAGGGTAATAAGGGGAGAGACTGCAAAAAGTTTAGCAAAATATAAAATGAGTAAAACAAAGTAGGTTTAAACCTGTAAAAAGGAACGCAACAAAACATCGAACGTTTCAACAGGAAACCTTCGTAAGCGAACAAAACAACAAAAAACAGAGTAAAATTTTAAAATTGCACTTAGCTTAGAAGTAGTATCCGTGGGCAGAAAATGAATTAGAATTATATAACGCGGATTTCAATGACTATTAAACTTATTTAATATAAATCTTCTTTTTACTTTTTAATTGATAACGCTATCAACAAATACTGATAAAATGTGAACGGTTTCTGTTCATTCCACCATTCATTTCGCCATCCCAAAACAAACTCCTCATTTAACCAAAACTCTGATTAGCCAGTTCCTCGCTAGTCACAACATTCTATTATACAAGAAATAATCATTATAGTGTGATTTGTCTCCCATTTGTGCTTGCCATATTCATATCTTTGACAGTTTCGCTTTAGACAGCTGTGTACGTAGAGATATTCTGTACAGAACTACAAAGTCTTATAAACAAGATACGGAAGTATACCTAAATTTACCTTTCGGAAACCAAAATCATTTTTGTAACATATTTTTTAAAAATTGTATGTGATTGTTTACTGTTATTAAATTGTGTACATTTGAAATCAATTGGAGTTCACTAAACACATTGAAAATATTAAAAACATTAAACACACTAAACAAACTGAACACTTTAAACACATTATAAACATTAAACATAGTGAACACATTAAACACATTGAACACATATAATGAATTTACTTGTAATTTTGAAATTATGTACACGTTCGGTGAGGTGTAGCAATTAGTTTTGTGACGATTTGAGAGGAGCGAAACAATGTGTCAGGGTGGTCGAAGGTTGAGGGATACACATTTTCATTTTGGAAAATAAAAAGATAATTTATCTTCATAATATAATGGAGTTATATATTTGTAATACAATTTTGACTCTTTTAATTAAAAAAAAAATGTCTAAATTAAATGCTTCCGCTAATTAACATAGCGCTTGACTTTGTTCAAGTTTGGTTGAATGAGATATAAAACCTACAATGTAAGCCGCGCATATCTTAAAACTATTTTTAAAAAATTCCCTTTACCATGTTCGATATACATGTATATTTTTCAGGCATCTATTTAATGACAGTGTTACAATTGTTTAGTTACAAACGACAATGTTACTGTGAAAAACAAAGAAGTTATAATAAAATATTCATTTAAGTTTTAGTACTAAAGAGGAAAAGTCACTTACTAGAAAATTTTAAAAAATATGCACTGAGATCAAACAGTAAAAGTAAAGATCAGACTTTGATAACACGTTCAATGAAAGAAGGTGGTAGATCTAGCATCTGAGTGTTTTGTGCTTGGGCACAATGCGGAGTTTGTATTTATAATGGGACCCTGTTTATGGCAATTTTCCTATTTCCTGGAAAACGGGAAATAAATTGACGCGTTAATAATACGCTGGTTTTCCCGAAACTATTTTAACACTTACGAATCTGTAAGATTGGACACGTGACTTAGATGGTGCAGCCCGTGTTAGGTTTAAGTTTTGAAATGTTGATTACATTTCGCAAAGATTTTCGGAGTTAACTCGATATATATCTATGTCAATGTCAATGTCTTTGTCCATGTCTGTGTCTCAGTTTACGTCTGTGTCTAAGTCTGTAGCCGTATATAATTGACATAAACATTTAGTCTTGATTCGCTATCTTATTTCTTGTAAGTCCGCCATTAATGATAGAAACGGCGGGAGGAGGGAGCTCTCAGAGCAAAGTTCAAAGTGTCAAATGTTTTTAACGGATCTGAAGCTTAGTCTAGGAGTAGGCCTACTAGTATCAGGTGTCACTACTTTACTTCTATAGGCCTAAAGGCATGAGCTTAGCTGCGCCATTGCCGGTCACAAGCCCGGGTGCACAAGGATAGGCATGAGCTTAGCTGCGCCATTGCCGGTCACAAGCCCGGTCGCACAAGGATAGGCATGAGCTTAGCTGCGCCATTGCCGGTCACAAGCCCGGTCGCACAAGGATAGGCATGAGCTTAGCTGCGCCATTGCCGGTCACAAGCCCGGTCGCACAAGGATAGGCATGAGCTTAGCTGCGCCATTGCCGGTCACAAGCCCGGTCGCACAAGGATAGGCATGAGCTTAGCTGCGCCATTGCCGGTCACAAGCCCGGTCGCACAAGGATAGGCATGAGCTTAGCTGCGCCATTGCCGGTCACAAGCCCGGTCGCACAAGGATAGGCATGAGCTTAGCTGCGCCATTGCCGGTCACAAGCCCGGTCGCACAAGGATAAAGGGTGACATAGCTCTGCTACGTCAACCGTAATAAACAAACTGGTCTAGGAACGTCAACAAGAAGAAAAAAACTAACAATTTCATCCCAGATAGAGGTCTCTTCTTCCCTAGTTCTGTCAAAGCACATGCACTCCCTTTAATTAGACGCCTAGTCCTGTCAAAGCACCATGTTAAACAAGGCGCCTAGTCCTGTCAAAGCACCATGTTAAACAAGGCGCCTAGTCCTGTCAAAGCACCATGTTAAACAAGGCGCCTAGTCCTGTCAAAGCACCATGTTAAACAAGGCGCCTAGTCCTGTCAAAGCACCATGTTAAACAAGGCGCCTAGTTCTGTCAAAGCACCATGTTAAACAAGGCGCCTAGTTCTCTCAAAGCACCATGTTAAACAAGGCGCCTAGTTCTCTCAAAGCACCATGTTAAACAAGGCGCCTAGTTCTCTCAAAGCACCATGTTAAACAAGGCGCCCAGTTCTTTCTGTGCACTTATAATACCTTAACTTTTGCGCCTAGCTCTTTCAAAGCAAATGCATCGACTTAAACTAGGCACCTGGTTCTGTCAAATCAGATACATCGTATTAAAAACTAGGCACCTGGTTCTGTCAAATCAGATACACCGTATTTAAAAACTAGGCCCCTTTTTCTGTCAAAGCACAAGCTCTACTTGATTGTCCGACACTGACTATAATTTGAGTACCGAGTGAAAACTTAATTTACCTAGATAACATGCAATGTGAAACAACTTCATGTGTGTCCTGGAGACTTTTTATTTTTAACTCTACATGTCTGACCTATTTATATCTCGTGTCATTGTCAATATCTTGTGGTCTCCTGTAGTTTATTAATATATATGGATCTATGGAGGACATATAAAACCTTATGTATATGAAGTTATCTCTCGGTGCCATCAGATCATTTTCTTTATATGTAATTGTTTCCTGTTTAGACGTATCAACAGTTTGAAACACACGAAGAACTTGAACAGTATCTCATAATTCGGTTGCTGTTTTTAGTGTCATTTGTAAAGCAAGTGTGAAGTCCTCTATTCATCATTACCCTTTGTCACATAATCTTTCAGTCAACTTTAGCAAGTACTAAAACTGCTAGCCGCATGAGGGTTTAATTACTTAATATTTATGTCTCTCACATATGGGTTTAACTACTTAAGATTTATGTCTGTCACATATTGGTTTAATTATTTGATGTATAATCGGTCTTTTGTAATTACCATCTGGGAATGACATTTATTGCTAAACTTTGAACGTGTTCCTTTGTTGATATTTTTTTAAAGAAAAGATACCGCTATGTAAATAAATGAATTATAAATATTCACTAATATTGTGTTAAATATTCACTAATATTGTGTTAAATATTCACTAATATTGTGTTAAATATTCACTAATATTGTGTTAAATATTCACTAATATTGTGTTAAATATTCACTAATATTGTGTTAAATATTCACTAATATTGTGCTAAATATTCACTAATATTGTGTTAAATATTCACTAATATTGTGTTACACTAATTTATAAAACAATTTTACAGCATAATTTTAAAAGAATTAATGTTTCGTTTCAAACATTTTGAAAAAAAATAATTATTTTAACATATTTTCCACAGAGCCTCTGAAATCTATAATTTTAAAAATTCGTATTTTGTGTTTCAGTCTCACGTAAATTACAGCTCGATCTATTTAAACGGGAATGTGCGTTCAAAGAATTCGAGCCACGGTCCATTGCATGTGCCTACGGTTCGTTCACGACTGTGCAAGATTTCTCCAAATGTGGTATCGACATTGGTGGGCTAATTTCGATGAAAGAATTGTGTTGTCTATAATGACTTTAAAATATGACGCAAAGTATAGAGTCACACGATTCTAAACAGAATTATACAAATTTGTTATTTAATTTTAGTTAATCTTCATATTTTGAACCACAGATGTTTGCAATTAACATGTCCCGATAAGAAGAAGCCAGTCTGCCAAGCCACGAAGAGGCGAACCCCTTGTGGACGCCCCAAGTTTCCTCGGAGACGTGCTCCTCACAAGCAGGAACCAGCATCCTGCTACTAAAACTTGTATTTACATGTTCAAAAGACAGAAACAACTAATATTTAGATATAAAGTTTCATTTGAGTGAAACCCATTATTTGGCAAAGGGAAAGTAGTTCTGACTTTAAAAAAAAAAAAGATGAGCTTTTTTTTATAATGAACATGACATCATCTATTTTCTGTTATTCCCTTTTGTATCCGTCCCTGGAGTTTCCTGGAAAATTTGAATTGCATAGATACATCAGCACTCGCCCCTGTGACAAACAGAAATCTATTTTACAATAAAATCAATGCCTTTATTCTGTAGCAATTTTTTTTTCAATGTTTTAGTAAACTCTTCTAAATATGTATATAGATATATACTGATTTTATGTCTATACATTCCATTTCTTTCTACAGACAAATTCGATCATCAACCTGGCAAAAAACTGAGCAACGACCTTGGTCAACCTGACCTTTGACATGTCGCTCTACAGGATCATTCTAGAGCCCTGGTCAAGCTCCGCCACTCAAATACCTGGACATATCCTACGAGCGTTCACTGAACTGGAACACCCCTGTACTGCAACAAATTGGCTGGACGATCACATTTCTCAAAATCAGTATTGAGTATTTAGTGTTAAGTTTTTCGTGCTCCAATCACGGTCCCAATGCTTCAGTCGTGGTCCCAAAGCCTCAATATAGTACCTATTTCTCAATTATGGTCTCAATGTCTTATTTGTGGTCCCAATGCTACAGTAGTTGTCCAAATAGTACAGTAGTTGTCCCAATGCCTCAATTTTGTACCAATGCCTCAGTTGTGGTACCGATGTCTCAGTTGTGGTTCCCAATCACTCAGTTGTAGTCTCAATGTCTCAGTGATGGTCCCAATGCTCCAGTCGTTGTCCAAGTACCTCAATTTTGTACCAATGCCTCAGTTGTGATCCCAATGTCTCAGTGGTGGTTCCCAATGCCTCAGTTGTGGTCTCAGTGGATCAGTTGTAGTCCTAATGTCTCAGGTGTAGTCCCAATGCCTCAATTTTTTTAACAATGCCTGAGTTGTTATCTTAATGGCTCAGTTGTGGTCCTAAAGGCTCAGTTGAGGTCATACTGGGTCAGTTGAGGTCATAATGGCTCAGTTGAGTTCATAATGGCTCAGGTGTGTCTCAATGACTCAGATATGGTCCCAATGCCTCAATTGTTGTTAATTTACACACACAAAACTCTTAAGTAGAGACAAGTACAGATTCAAAATTTGTGTTAAAATGTCTTGTTTCTTATTAAATACTAGCATCCTATGTATTCTCATTCTGACGTTCTAATTTTGTTTAATTAAGCGAGATTTCAAAGCTTACCCTTATAAAAAATGTACTTTCCCAAAAAAGTACAGCTTTTGGATAATGTCCCCGACTAATGATTGTACTTTGCAACAAAGTCGAGCGTATAAATAATACCATCATATTCTACACGTCACGACCAAACTTGACCTGGACTACAAAGTACAAAGCAAATGATCTGCGAGGCTTTTGAGCGACAAAATAATGACACCAGTCGTAAGCAATCAACTGTAGGAGATGACGATACTCTCCATTGGTGTGTTAATGTCAAATGACTCTAGAGCCTCAGTCACGTGCCGCATGAGCAGGGCCCTGGAGTCAGTGGATGTGCTGATAGGAAAGGCTGAAACACACATTTGTTTTCTTTATGATGAAACGGCTGAGAAATGATTTGCTGTGAGATTGTGGGACACATAATCATTAATTGGCAATAAATGAAAAATGGATTATTTTATATACATTATCTTTTATCTCAGGACTAACGATAGGATAGGGGCAATTCTAGATCTATTTAAAACTTTTTTTCTTGATATTTTTCTGGGGCTTTCGATATGATAGATTAAATTTAGGCTTCAATTGGTCTGTAAATTAAGTAGTACATTCTAAGGAATATCAGCTACCTTTACAATAAATGGGCCTGTCCCACACATATGGACCTTTCAGTCTCCCACACACTCCAGAAGATTGTCCAACACTCACTCTATGGGATTTCAGTCCCCCACAAATTAAATGACAACATATTTTATATTTTAGCGATACGCAACAACAACAAAAAAACGTCAAACTAAATGAACAAAATTGGAAGCAACTCCCGACCTTTAAATACAGTTTGGGAATAACCGATGGAATAAAATAGCATTTTAAAAATAATTTAGGAATATGTAATACACTTACAATGATTTTTAAATATTAGTAGCTCTGAGCTGACCTTTCTGGGGGGAAAACAGTTTATTTTGACTCGACTCAACGTGGGTACGTGGCAGTTATTCCACGAGGCACATCATGGTCTTACAGTACTTAAATAACCTTAAATAACATTTAGCTCAAGGGTTCTCATTCTGTTTTAACGCTTTCATTAGTCGAATTTATAAGTGATCATTCCCTTTAGACTGGGCCTAATCGGACATGGCCTAACGGTTACTCAACCTGAATGATAATGAAAATGGACTCTTGAAAAATGTTTTCGACTTTAAATGCAATGATTTTTTTAACTACACTTACTTACTTCGAGTAGACTATATTTAAGGAATACCGTACGATTGTGGTTGATTAATGATTGTAACTAAAGGTGTTAATATCAACAGGTGACCAGGTGGATGGGACTCGTTAGCCTTGGAAGGCAACTCATCTAAAAGAAGGTTAACTCTGAATTCAAACCAGGAGCCACAATGATCAATAAATTGATCGTGGGCCCTCAAATATGAAGAAAAAAAAGTGTTGATGACACAATAACAATGAAATGGAATTAAGTGGCTTGATTAGGGTATGTGTATGTGTGTGTGCGTGTGTGTGTATGTATATGGGTGTCTTCTAATTCAATATGAATTCTTCAGTATTGGAGATAAACATATCAAAATAGAAAAAGTTAGCTTCTCAAAACGTATAAAAATTAATAATTTTCCAAATATTTAAATTTTTTTTTACTTCGTATCCTTAAAAAAGTTTGATTAGTTTAAGATTGCACACCAGCCCAACTCACCTAGGTGTAAAGAATGTACTTGAAACCTTCAATTGAGAATCATTGTATGAACTTTAAGCCATGAATTATCCGTTCCGATAATTACCCTTACGAATATTCGGCCGTTCTGTCCCTTTGTCTTGCTGTCTGGAAATGTCAGAATAAAGATCAAAGGTCATGCGTCGTTTCTCCTACGTCTATTTCATTCTCTGAAGCGAGCAGATTGTGTCAACATTTGGAATGATAATAATTATTTGAGAAGTAAGTCATTCTAATATAAGATAATAATTATTTGAGAAGTAAGTCATTCTAATACAAGATGATATTTATTACAGAAATAATTTATTTGATATAAGATAATTATTATTTGAGAAATAATTCATTTCATATAAGATAATAACTATTTCAGAAGTAATTCACCCTTGTGTAACCTTATCAGGATTTTAGTCATTCGTATATATAGTAAACAATAAATTTATTTGAATGGTATAGAAATGCTGCTTGTTGTATCCATTACACAAACCACCACACGAGTATGTGTGCACCATCACACGAGTATGCGTGTACCATCACACGAGTATGTGTGCACCATCACACGAGTATGTGTGCACCATCACACGAGTATGTGTGCACCATCACACGAGTAAGTGTGCACCATCACACGAGTATGTGTGCACCATCACACGAGTATGTGTGCACCATCACACGAGTATGCGTGCACCATCACACGAGTATGTGTGCACCATCACACGAGTATGCGTGCACCATCACACGAGTAAGTGTGCACCATCACACGAGTATGCGTGCACCATCACACGAGTATGCGTGCACCATCACACGAGTATGTGTGCACCATCACACGAGTATGTGTGCACCATCACACGAGTATGCGTGCACCATCACACGAGTAAGTGTGCACCACCACACGAGTATGTGTGCACCATCACACGAGTATGTGTGCACCATCACACGAGTATGTGTGCACCATCACACGAGTATGTGTGCACCATCACACGAGTATGTGTGCACCATCACACGAGTATGTGTGCACCATCACACGAGTATGTGTGCACCATCACACGAGTATGCGTGCACCATCACACGAGTAAGTGTGCACCATCACACGAGTATGTGTGCACCATCACACGAGTATGTGTGCACCATCACACGAGTAAGTGTGCACCATCACACGTGTATTTGTTGACCATTATATAAATGTGGACCACCACAGGATATTTTGTGAACCGCTACAGGCGTATTACTGGATCCTAATTTCTGAATCATGGACACCGGAAGAAGTTAATATATCTATGATTACCGCCATTAACCAAACGGAAAGGTAGATCTGTGGGGGAAATAGGGGGTGGGGGTCGGTTGTGATGGTATATAAATACATAGCTTGTGAAGTGGGGCGAAGTCATTGTTGTCATAATTTCGAAAGTGAGTTAAAATGTTTTTGGCTGTTGTTATTTTGTTACTGGTGACTGGTGGGATTGCTGGCAGCATATACGACAAATTTCATGTGGTGTCAGAGGTAATGAAAGCTTTACTTTTCAAGTCTAAAGAACAAAATAAATGTTTTATTATTTGCTTCAGTATTGCTTTAGGTGAAAAAAAAGTGGGGTGTTAGGGGGAGATAAATTAAAAAATACTTTTCGAGCTATTCGATCCTACCAATATAAATGTAATGTTCTTTCTAAAATAATTTCTCAAATAAAATTTTGACGGAAAGTGCGTTTATTTTGGGAATTTTCCTTAACAACAAAAGATGGAAGAGAAAGATTGCAATCATGTTTTTTTATTGACGAAACAGTGTGATAAAATATGGTAGAAAATGATTCATCATCTGTGGGTGATGTCAGTGATTCATCAGTCTATGATATCGGTCATTCATCAGTCTCTGATGTCGTTCATTCATTTGTCTGTGCTATCGGTCATTCATTTGTCTGTGATGTTGGTCATTCAACTGTCTATGATGTCGGTCATTCATTTGTCTGTGATGTCGGTCATTCATTTGTTTGTGATGTCGGTCATTCAACTGTCTATGATGTCGGTAATTCATTTGTCTGTGATGTATTTCATTCATCTGTCTGTGATGCCGGTCATTCATTTGTCCGTGATGTCGTTCATTCATTTGTCTGTGATGTCGGTCATTCATTTGTCTGTGATGTATTTCATCGTATCCGGAAATTTGATCGAAAGAAATTTCGTCGACGGTAAATTGGTCGACGGTAATATGATCGAACGGAAATTTGGTCGAATCTTCTTTTCAATTTTTACGTAACAATTTTGCATCAAATTTCTTTTTGAACGAATTATTTTGTTTTACTAAATAGTATAGTGCGTTCAAAAAGAAATTTGACGAATATTTCAACGTGCGAACGGAAAAAAAGATTCGACCAAATTTCCGTTCGATCAAATTACCGTCGATCAATTTACCGTCGACGAAATTTATTTCGATCAAATTTCCGGTAACCGTATTTCATTCATTTGTCTGTGATGTAATCATTCATCTGTCTGTGATGTCGGTCATTCATCTTTCTGTGATGTCTGTCATTCATTTGTCTGTGATGAAATCATTCATCTGTCTGTGATGTCGGTCATTCATTTGTCTGTGAGTCGGTCATTCATCTGTATGTGATGTATTTCATTCATTTGTCTGTGATGCAATCATTCATCTGTCTGTGATGTCGGTCATTCATTTGTCTGTGATGTCGGTCATTCATCTGTCTGTGATGTAATACATTCATGTGTCTGTGATGTCATTTAGTTATCTTAAGGGAGTTAATTTCTATTATTCAATATTGATCAATCAACGTTCATCGTACCCCGTGGCTGGAATCCATCCATTTTGTGTTTTAAATAGCTGATCTATCATGTCACATGGCCGAGCCTATTAAGCCTTGATAGAAGCCTCGTCTACCAGCGTATTATATGGCCGAGCCTATTAAGCCTTGATAGAAGCCTCGTCTACCAGCGTATTATATGGCCTAGCCTATTAAGCCTTGATAGAAGCCTCGCCTACACGCGTATTATATGACCTAGCCTATTAAGCCTTGATAGAAGCCTCGTCTACCAGCGTATTATATGGCCTAGCCTATTAAGCCTTGATAGAAGCCTCGTCTACCAGCGTATTATATGACCTAGCCTATTAAGCCTTGATAGAAGCCTCGTCTACCTGCGTATTATATGACCTAGCCTATTAAGCCTTGATAGAAGCCTCGTCTACCAGCGTATTATATGACCTAGACTATTATATCGGCATACAAAATGCGTTTCCAATGTACCTTGATATTGTTGTCTATTTGTCAAGAAAATTAGCATCTTTGTAGATACCCTGAATGTGATCAGTACTTTTTGGGTGGGCAGTACCCTGTGGGTTGCCGTGACCTGTGGGTTAACAGTACCTTTTATGTGGGCACTATCCTGTGGGTCGTTAGTACCTTGTCTGGGGGACAGTGTCTCAGCCTTACCATTTGGGAGAGCGGTACGAAGTTGGTGGTCAGTATGCCATAGTTGGGCACTATTCTGTGGGTCGGTAGTACCTTGTCTGGGGAATCTACCATGTGCCTCAGCTTTGCCATTTGGGAGGGCAGCACAAAGTTGGCGGTCAGTATGCCATAGTTGGGGACTATTCTGTGGGTCGGTAGTACCTTGTCTGGGGAATCTACCATGTGCCTCAGCATTGCCATTTGGGAGAGCGGTACGAAGTTGGTGGTCAGTATGCCATAGTTGGGCACTATTCTGTGGGTCGGTAGTACCTTGTCTGGGGAATGTACCATGTGCCTCAGCATTGCCATTTGGGAGGGCAGTACAAAGTTGGCGGTCAGTATGCCATAGGTGGACAACACCCGGGATAATCAAAGTAGAAAAAAGGTCCTTAACAGTTACATGTACCTTTACAACTTAGCATATGACCACATAAGGAGCTGACAAGTCAAAGGAGTTTATTCTAAATACAGTGACTCTGTTCTAATCATTTGAACTCCCTGACTGTCCTTGCAAAAGCTCTTTTTTAATCATTGGAAGTCCCTGACTTTTCTTGCAACAGCTCTGTTTTAATCATTTGAACTCCCTGACTGTTCTTGCCACAGCTCTGTTTTAATCATTTGAACTCCCTAACTGTTGCTCTTGCAACAGAAGTCCTCACTGTTCTTGCCGAAAAAGAACTAAGTTTTCTTGCCACAGAAGACCTGGCTGTTCTTGCCACAGGAGACCTGACTGTTCTTGCCACAGAAGATCTGACTGTTCTTGCCACAGAAGACCTCACTGCTCTTGCCACAGAAGGCCTGACATTTCTTGCCACAGAAGACCTGACTGTTCTTGCCAAAGAAGACCAGAAGAACATCTTGCAAGTAGACAAATAGAAAAGCGTCCACCTTGAGGAACAAGTTACTGTTTTTCGGCAACACACAACGCCAAAAATGGTTGGCATTGCAGTGTTTTATACAACACTGAAGAAGGAAAAACGATGAAATAAGAGTTGACTGATACAAATTCAGATGAAATAGAAGCTTCAAAAATACCACCCATCTGTTTGAGAAAATTGAATTTAAAATCTTGATACAAGCAGCAATGCCAGGAACAAGATTCGTGTGTCTCCTGAACCACTTGCGTTTCTTCGACAATGTGACAAGGACGAAAATGATATACAAGTACACAAAGGAAATCCAAGGACTAATAAGTTAATCCGACGACATATATAGCCAAGGACACAAAGGAAAGCCAAAAACACATATGAAAGCCAATGACAGTAAGGAAAGCCAAAAGAAAAAAAAGAAAAGCCAAGAACACATATGAAAGCCAAGGACGCAAAGGAAAGCCAAGAAAAAAAAGGAAAGCCAAGGACACATATGAAAGCCAAGGACACATATAAAAGCCAAGGACAGGGAGAAAAGCCAAGGATGCAAAGGAAAGCCAAGGACACATATGAAAGCCAAGGACAGGAAGGAAAGCCAAGGACAGGGAGCAAAGCTAAGGATGCAAAGGAAAGCCTATAACACATATGAAAGTCAAGGACAGGAAGGAAAGCCAAGGACAGGGAGGAAAGCCAAGGACACATATGAAAGCCAAGGACAGGAAGGAAAGCCAAAGATGCAAAGGAAAACCGATGACACGAAGGAAACCTATTGAAACGTACCCCAAATTAGAGAAATTGGAAATACCTTTAAACATCTCTAGGCCGACATTATTGTCCCATTAGTAACACAGCACTGGAAGAGCATCTCATCCCATTTTACGGAGGTTCACTTTCACAGACTACCTAACCAGCAATTCTGGTAGTATGGCATCAAGATTTCTGATCATTTGATAAAGAAACATCTTTTCTGTTGAAAGGGAAGCAATACTTCCCTTCTATTCTCCTTTACTTTGTGTCTGTCTCTTGGTTGTTGTTGTGTTTTTGTTGGTTTTTTTTCGTCAATTTCTATTTTTTTTTCTCTTTAACTTAGGTAGGATATACGTATATATATATATATATATATATATATATATATATTATGTAAATTTAATTTACACTTGTTTAAATGTTTTATTGTTGTACTGATGAAGGCATGTGCCGAAACGTCTACTTATGTATTTTGTAGTGTTCTTAAAGCTTAACACAAATTGTTATATAGACACAAATTGTTCGTGTCTAATTAATCTAGAAAGGATATGGAGTTTTCATTACAAGAATGACAGAAAAAAATGTGTGAACTATTAATTGCCAAAAGTAACCATTTATAACAAAATAAATGAAGTGTGTTGTCAATTGCATTCATGTCTGTATAATGTAGTCACGTTCTTATAAATACCATAATGGAAAAATTCACCAAAGTTTATTTAAACTTTTTATGGCTTTGAGCACAAATTCTCATTTGTTTCTATACTTATTTATAAATATATACGGTAGGCTTCCGACCACAACGTACTCTCAACCGTGGTGTTACTATCTACCTAATGTATGCTCTCAACCGTGTTGTTACTCTCTACCTAATGTATGCTCTCAACCGTGGTGTTACTCTCTACCTAATGTATGCTCTCAACCGTGCTGTTACTCTCTACCTAATGTATGCTCTCAACCGTGGTGTTACTCTCTACCTAATGTATGCTCTCAACCGTGGTGTTACTCTCTACCTAATGTATGCTCTCAACCGTGGTGTTACTCTCTACCTAATGTATGCTCTCAATCTGAGGGTTACTCCCCATCCACGGGGTACTCTCCACCCAATGTATACTCTCCACCTAAGGGTTACTATCCACCCACTGGGTACTCTCCACAGACAGAATAATTTCCGCCCACGGGATACTCTCCTCCCAATGTTATTCTCCACCTAAGGCATATTATCCACCTACGATGTACTCTCCACCAACGGGGTACTCTCTAGCTACGATATGCTTTCCACCAAATGGGTACTATCAAACTACGATGTACTTTCCACCAACGGGGTACTCTCCACCAACGGTGTACTCTCCAGCTACGATGTACTTTCCACCAACGGGGTACTCTCCAGCTACGATGTACTCTCCACCAACGGTGTACTCTCCAGCTACGATGTACTTTCCACCAACGGGGTACTCTGCATACTTACTTGATTAGAAAAACACTTGAATACATAAACAATGACTTGAATACATACAAAACTAAATTCATTCAAACTCAATATTTTTTAATGAGTGTATTAAATTCCAGTTATCTCAAATTGAGGCCCATCTCAAAGAATTGGATTCTGACCTGGACAAAACTTCGAATGCCGTGTTCAAGCTTAAAAGTGAGGTGAGTGGATCTTAAGTTAATATGGGAAGTTCATTGGGATTACAGGCACTTTACATCTATGGAGAATCATAAATAAATCATGATGTTCCTAAATTCTACAGATAAGACGAGTAGACTACATGAGAACCATTTTCAAAAGTTTTGCAATTTAAAATCAAACATGACTTTTATTAAGAGAGAGAAAAAATATGATACATGATTTATTCGAGAAGTTTTGAAAGGAAGTTGTATATCAGAGTATGGCTTGCTACAACAGGAAGGCTTGACAGGAAGTTGTGTCAGAGTATGGCTTGCTACAGCAAGAAGGCTTGACAGGATGCTGTGTCAGAGTATGGCTTTCTACAGCAAGAAGGCTTGACAGGATGTTGTATCAGAGTATGGCTTGCTACAGCAAGAAGGCTTGACAGGAGGTTGTGTCAGAGTATGGCTTTCTACAGCAAGAAGGCTTGACAGGATGTTGTATCAGAGTATGGCTTTCTACAGCTAGAAGGCATGACAGGATGTTGTATCAGAGTATGGCTTGCTACAGCAAGAAGGCTTGACAGGATGTTGTATCAGAGTATGGCTTGCTACAGCAAGAAGGCTTGACAGGATGTTGTATCAGAGTATGGCTTGCTACAGCAAGAAGGATTGACAGGATGTTGTGTCAGAGTATGTCTTGCTACAGCAAGAAGGCTTGACAGGATGTTGTGTCAGAGTACGGGTGTTCACTTATATTCTTTACCATGATTATTATTTTTTCATTCAATGGACATTGTTGCAAAGAGAGAGAGAGGCAGTCGTTGTGTAGTTGAATGAAATAGTATTATCAAGGCATTACTCAATTTGAAGAAATTCAGCACGCTATTAATGAACATTTATACTGGATCATAAAAGCCTACAGTTATATAAAAGTTACGTCTTTTAAACGTTATAACAATACACTAAGAATAAATAAATGGCTCTGGTCCACAAGATCTCATTCTGTATGTGGGGCTAATTTTTTCATAATTTAGGCGCGAAATCATTAAAAGAGCGTACTCCGTATGACTTCTTACTGTGTCAATCCACATTGTCAACTCTCAGTAAAGATTGTGTTGAGGAGCGTACTCCGTATGACTTCTTTCTGTGTCAATCCACATTGTCAACTCTCAGTAAAGATTGTGTTGAGGAGCGTACTCCGTATGACTTCTTACTGTGTCAATCCACATTGTCAACTCTCAGTAAAGATTGTGTTGAGGAGCGTACTCCGTATGACTTCTTACTGTGTCAATCCACATTGTCAACTCTCAGTAAAGATTGTGTTGAGGAGCGAAGATTCTTTAAGGATACATGTTTTAAAAAAACGTTTTTGAAGATATAAAGGTGAAGAGCCTTCTATACAGCTAAGTTTACATCCAAGGATAACGTGTCCTGTCCGACCGGGGTGCTCTCTAGACTTTTGCTGGGGAGCAATCTACAGTCCAAAAGCTTGTGATTGACACTGAGCGGCCAGCACCCAAAACAATCTATACACATATCACAGCCTGCAGGTTATATATATTACATTTAGTAGGTAGTACATGTTACATCCAGTAGGTTGTACGTATCACATCCTTTAGTGTGTACATATCACATCAAAGAAGTTGAACATATCACAGCTTGCAGGTTATACATATCACATCCGGTAAGTTGTCATATAATGTCCAGTAGGTTGTGCATGTCACATCTTACATGTTATACTCATCACAGCCATTATAGGCTATATTTATCACAACTAGTACGTTGTACATTTCAAAGTCAGCTTGCTGCACACATCACATTCAGTTGGTTGTACATAGCACAGAAAGTGTAGTTTACATATCGCAGTGAGGAGGTTGCCCATATCACAAACCAGTAGGTTGTATGTGTTACCGCCAGTATGTTGTATGTGTTACCGCCAGTATGTTGTATGTGTTACCGCCAGTATGTTGATATCTTCAACCCAAAACAGAAACATTAATAACGACAATACAAATCATTTCATTCATTTTTCCAACAACTTCCATTCACTCATTTGTGTACAGTTATCTGGTCCATTCACTCATCTGTGTACATTTATCTTCTCCATTCATACAACTGTCTACAGTTATCTGGAGAGACGAATGGCAAGGTTGAATCTGGTGACCTCGTCCCGCTTGTTCCCTGTGTGCGGCCCCTGGATGCCTGGAGAACCGTGTTGAACGGTGAACTAAAATTTACTATGAAATACCTGGAGTTGGCTGAGGACGTCAGAGTGACGTGGGGTGATACAATGACAATATTGCCAGGTGGGATCATTTTGTTACTTTTACAAAATATTAGGTAGAAGAAAATAATGTTAATAGACAAATACCTTTGATTTATTAGTGTTATGTTTTCATTGTTTTTATTTCAACAAGTAACATAAACAGATATATACATAAATACAAGTTCTCAATCAGGTGCTGACTTTCTGCTTGCGTCTGGAACACGGTTCATAAACACACACAATCTGTCCAGTCTCTCTGCGCATGCGCGCTATTTCCTTGGCTGGCTATCGGTACGGGCCAGTCCGCTAGTCCACCAGAACAACAGATAAAAAATTTTTTAGATGACAACTACCTTTGAGATATCAGTTATAGTTTAGTAGAAAGACAACTAAATATTGAGATATCAGTTATAGTTTAGTAGAAAGACAACTAAATATGAGATATCAGTTATCGTTTAGTAGAAAGACAACTAAATATGAGATATCAGTTACAGTTTAATAGAAGACAATTACCTTTGAGATATTATGTATAGTTTGATAGAAAAACAACTAAATATAGCACCACTCAAGTCCAAGACGGGTCAAATTATCAAGAATCCAAATGAATGGCTCAAGGGAAAAACAAGTGATGTCAGGTTTTGAGAGTTTGGGGAAAATTGAATTTAAAGTTTGAAAATTCCTCATAAAGGTATGAAAGTATCAAGATGTCTACGTATTTATTTATTGACTAAGCTGCTTTTTCAGTTGGACCTATGTATCATATTATTCTATTAAATGGAATGTAGCCACAAGGGAGATAACATAGAAATTTTGAAAAACTGACATCACTGGTTTTTCCCTTTAACCCTTCAAATGATCAACTCTGGCGTTGGGTAGAGCACTATCTTGAGCTATACTCTACAATGAATGTATTTACTGAGACCACTCTGCATAATATTCCCGCGTTGTCAGTAATGAATGAACTGGATGAAGAGCCAACTTTACAGGAGCTCGAAAAAGCCATCGATTACCTTGCGGATGGGAAGGCTCCAGGGATCGACGGCATCCCAGCGTAAATCTTCAAAAATGGAAAACCTATCCTACTTCAGCCCTTACATGAGCCCCTCTGTCTGTGTTGGGAAACAGGACACATTCCCCGGGACATGAGAGACGCCAACATCGTAACATTGTATAAAAATAAAGGGGACCGTAGTGATTGCAATAACTACCGAGGTATTTCTCTCCTGAGCTTAGTTGGAAAGACTTTTCCCCGTATTGTCCTTAAACGATTGCAGAGTCTGGCGAACCGCATCTACCCAGAGTCACAGTGTGGCTTCAGGAGTGGGCGCTCAACAATAGCCATGATATTTTGGCTACGCCAAATGCAGGAGAAATGTCGTGAACAGCATATGCCTCTTTATATTGCCTTCATAGACCTGACCAAGGCATTCGACTTAGTAAGTCGAAGAGGCCTTTTCAGTATCCTGCAAATAATAGGTTGTTACCCACGATTGCTCACAATAATACAGTCATTTCACAAAAACATGCACAGCACAGTAACTTTCAATGGCACTGTCTCTGAGTCATTCCCACTTAGCAGCGGAGTAAAACAGGGTTGTGTACTGGCACCAACACTCTTTTTCCTTTTCTTTTCGATGCTCCTTCAATTTGCCTTCAAAGACTATGAAAATGGAGTGTACGTCCATACAAGATCTGATGGAAGACTGTTCAATATCACCCGCCTTCGTGCAAAGACCAAAGTAAAAAAGGTGCTGATTAGTGAACTGCTGTTCGCTGACGATGCCACCTGGACATCTCACACAGAAGAAGTTCTGCAGGGGCTGGTTAATCGCCTATCACATGCTTGTAAAGAGTTTGGTCTTTCGATTAGTCTACAGAAAACTCATGTAATGATGCAAGAAGCACCGTCACCTCCAATCATATCTATTGAGGGTCATAATCTTTCGGTTGTTGATCATTTCATATACCTGGGCTCCAATCTTTCTAGATCTCTCTCCGTTGATGAAGAGATAAATATCAGGGTCGCAAAAGCAGCAGCAACTGTGGCTAAACTGAATAAGCGGGTGTGGAATAATCTCAATCTAACTGATAAAACAAAAATAAGTGTCTATCAGGCATGCGTGCTTAGCACGCTCCTATATGGTAGCGAAGTGTGGACCACATATACCAGTCAGGAGCGGAAACTGAACAGCTTCCATCAAAGATGTCTGTCGCATTTTACGCATTCGTTAGCAGGACAGGGTGCCTAACGTGGAGGTCTTGGAGCGTGCACACATGTTTGGCATATTCTCCTTTCTTATCGAGAGGCGCCATCGCTGGTTAGGTCATGTACGGAGAATATAGAAAGGACGTATACAAAAGATACTGCTGTACGGAGAGTTGGCAGAAGGGACAAGACATATTGGACGACCGCGCCTGAGATTTATTGACGTTTGCAAACGAAGCATGAGGGAATCCAATATTGATAACTAAGTAATATTTTAGTCTCTAATGGTAAGTTATATGTTTAGGCTATGATAGATAAGTCATACCTCCAGTTTCTGATAGATCATTTTTCTAGTAATTGATAGCTAAGTCACATTTAAGCTATGATGGCTGCTTTAGTTATATGATATAATAGCTAAGTCACATTTTAGCATATTATAGCGGTCATATTTCTAGGCTATGATAACTAAGTCATATTTCTAGACAATGATAGCTAATGTACATTCCTGGAATATGATAGCTAAATCATATTTCTAGGCTGTGATAGCTTAATATTTTTTTCTAGACGATGATAGCTGTCATAACTCTAAAGATGATAGCTAAGTCATCATTTTAGACTATTTTAAATGTCATAACAACTGTCTCTCATACTAAAGTCACATTTCTAGTTTATTATAGCTAAGTCATTTTTTAAAGATGTGCTAACAAATTTATATTTCTTGTCTATGATAACTATGTCACATTTCTAGGCTATGGACGTTAAGTCACATGTCTTGTCTATGATAGCTAAATCACATGTCTAGGCTATGATAGCCAAGTCATATTTCTAGTCTTTGATAGCTAAATCACATTTCTAGTCTATGATAGCTAAATCATTTTTATAGGCTATGATATCTCAGTCATATTTTAAGCTATTGTTGCTAACTAACATCTCTAGGCTTGGGTCGTCAATTTTCCCTTATCGGCTAGAATGGCAAAGTCATATATCTAATCTTTAATAGCTAATTCACATTCCTCCTAGTCGTTAAAAGCAAAGTCATATTCCCAGCTTATGATAGCTTAGTTATAGTCATTTTTAGCTTAGCTAAGTCATTTTCTGGGCTACGATTTCTAAATCACATTTATAGACTATGCTAGCAAAGACATATTTTAAGCTGTTATAAATACGTCATATTTCTAGGAATTAATAATGAACTCCTATGTCTATGATATGATAGCTAACTCTCATTTTTGGCTATTTTACCTAAGTCATTTTTTTAGTATTTCATAACTTGGTCACATTTCCAGTCTTTAATAGCTAAGTGATATTTCTAGGCTTCGACAGCTAAGTCACATTTTAGACTATTATAGCTAAATCGTATTTCTCGTCTATGAAAGCTAAGCATAATTTCTAATTGATCATAGCTTAGGTGTTATTTCTTTGCTATAATAGGTACGTCGTATTACTAGTATTTGATAGCTTAGTCATCTATTTAGGCCTTGATAGAAAATTAACATTTCCCGGCTAATATAAGTAAGTCAAATGTTCTGGGCTATGATAGTTATGTCACATTTCTAGATGATAATATATTATCTCTCTCTCTATATATATAGTCTAGAAATATGAATAAGCTATGGCTTATTCATATTGCTTGACTATGGGAGCTAAGTCATATTTTTAGGCTACGATAGGAATTCATTGAATATCTAGGCTATGAGATTAAGTATCATTTATATAGCTAAGTCAGATTTTAAGCTAATATAGAGGGTAATATTAGAGGCTCTGATAGCAAGTCCAATTTTTAATATATGATAGCTTAGTCACATTTTTAGGATAAAATAGCTAAGTCATTTCTAGAATATGATAGCTAAGTCATATTTCTAGACTATGACAGATATGTCATAACTTTAGTCTCAATATGTGGCTCAATCAGTCATATTCATATTCAAACTCTCATTATAAACATTATTTGATAAGAATTCGGCCTCCTTCGTGACACGTGATAATTATCTTCCCCTCAGCTACTTTCTATGAACTGTCGGGTGAAATCGTTGGTAAGTTCATGAATTCGAGTGTAACGGTGCCAGACAACTTGACAGCAGATTCAATAATCTTTATGGCTGCCACCTGTGGAGATAATGTGTAAGCAGATCAATCATGGTGGCATTTAGTATTCTGTAGAATAAATTTATTTTTTATCAATATATGAATATAAATCAATGATGGTGTTTCTGTGTAATATTCAGATAAATTATAGTATCATTAAGTAATGTTTATATCAATTATGTTTAATTAAGTTATATTTATAGTAATTATGTTTTCAATAATAATATTTAGATACATTTTGATGTCGTGAAGCAACATAGATAAATGATGTGTCGTTAAGTAATCTATAGATACAACCAAAAGGACCCCCACATAATGAGAACCACTCGATAAAAGATAACTCAATTACAAAATTAATTAAACATGAATTAAACATGTAATTAAGTAATTACCACCCCTTAATTAATACTTAAATTTCCTTTGCATCTCCAACGCCTCCAATATACCTGCTTCCTACATAGTATTATACTAATGTTGAGTCACTATGTTATCTCTAGATGATTTATGGTTTAATTAATTAAGAAATGGATAATAAAATATGTTTTCATGAAACAATCTATATATTTGTTAACGCATGATTAAGTAAGAAAGAAAAAAAAAGAATGTGAAATTCTTCAAGTAACAATATCTGTTTCATTAAATCTGAATCACTTCCTAGTAATGTTCTCATATGAGTCCTTATTATGTCTGTCTAACATAAGACATACCTCTGACTCTAACACTATCTCACTAATCATGAAGAACCCTGAGTCCTAAATACTAACTTAGTTTTTGTAGCCATGTGCAATAAGAATTAACTCTGTCTTACTATCCATGAGTCTTAAGTACCAAATCTGTGTTTAGAAGCCCTGAGTCCTAAGTACTAACACTGTATCACCAATACTTACTAGCCCTGTATCCTAAGTACTATCTCTGTCTTACTAACCCTGAGTCCTAAATACTAACATTTACTAATCCTTACTAGCCCTGAGTCCCAAGTACTAACTCAATCTTAGTAACACTGAGTTCTAACTCTATTTCACTAAACATTTCTTGCTCTAAATTTCCACTATGTCTGACCAATCTAACCTCTAACTCTTGAGTTCCAACTCAGTCTAACTAACCTACTCTGCAACTATGTGTCCTAATTATGGCTCACTAACATACTCTCTAAATCTTGTCTCATTAAAGAACTCTATTAATTCTTTCTCACTAAACTTTTCTCTAGCTTCTGACTCAGATTCAACTTGTGCGATCATCTCTATCCACCTACGGAACTCCAATCAACTCATTTATCACATAAATTACAACGCTATTTCAAGTCAACCACATTGAAGTTATCTAAACACCACTTTTATATAGTTAATCGAAGGTTCTCCCACGTGACAAGGATAAGATATGTTATTGTTTGTGTGGGCTACAGGACAGCTATAGGTTAGCCCCGGTCAGCTATTGGTCAGCCTCTGGTCAACTACTGGTTAGCCACAATTGATCTTCCTGTCAGCTATCGGTCAGCCTCTAGTCGGCTACTGGTCTGCCACTGTCAGTTACTTTTCAGCTAATGGTTATCTATTGGTCAGCAACTTGGCAGCTGCAGGTCAGTCACTGAGTAGCCACTTTTCATCCACTAGTCAGCTACTAGATAGTAACTACCAGCCACTAGTCAGCCACTAGTCAGCTACTGGTCATCTATTGGTCAAATCTGGTCCTGCCCAGCCAATAATTTTTTTGTAAAAAAGGAGAACAAATGACCACGTGATTTTCGTCTTGAACACATAGATGCAATTAAGTTGTGTTATAATATAAAAATTTTAGTCTCCACATACTTGTCTCCACCTGCTTACCTCCACCTGTTTTGTTTATCAAAGAAATTGGCAGGCTTATCAATTTCTGTCCACTGGAGAAAATTATGCCCATCAGGTCTTGTCTGAAGACGCCATGCCGGTGGTAGAGACGAATACATCAGAAGTTGTCTACAACATAGGACAGGATGCCTTCTTGAGGGTATTATTTCTGTACAGTTGACCTTGTCTCAGTGACGTATATCTACGCTTAGTCTCAGTGACGTATATTTACACCTTATCTCAGTTACTTATTTCTACACATTGTCTAAGTTACATATATCTACACTAGATCTCACTGATATAAATTTACACCTAGTCTCAGTGACTTATATCCTACCTGGTCTTAATGATGTATATCTATACATTGTCTCATTGACGTATATCCGCACCTGGTCTCGGTGACGTACAACTACACTTAGTCTCAGTGACGTATATCTACACTTAGTCTTAGTGACGTATATCAACACTTAGTCTTAGTAAGTATACCTACACTGAGTCTCATTGACGTACATCTACACTTAGTCTCAATGACGTATATCTACACTTAGCTTCAGTGACGTATATCTACACTAAGTATCAGTGACGTATATCTACGCTTAGTCTCATTAACGTTTTTCTACACTTTGTCTCACTGACGTATATTTTTGTTTCATTCATAGATGAGATTTTTGCTTTGATAAGTCAATCTACACTTTGTCTCAGTGACGTATATCTACACTTAGCCTCAGTGACGTATAGCTACACTTAATCTTAGTGAAGTTTATCTACACTTTGTCTCAGTGACTTATATCTACACCTTGTCTCAGAGACTTATATCTACTCTTAGTCTTAGTGACGTATATCTATACCTCGTCTCAGTGACGTAAATCTATACTTTACCTTAGTGACGTATATCTACGCTTTGCCTACGTGACGTATATTTTGTTTCATTTAAAGATGAGAACTAGACAGCCAGAACATCGAGCAGGACACCATATTCAAACAGATGTGTTCTTAAGTCTTGTAGACTTAAAGACCGGAGAATTTGAGATGAGACCACTAGTAGATTATGCCAATAAGTCTGTTGAGTTTCTGGACAGGTAAGCTGGTTTATATATGCCAATAAGTCTGTTGAGTTTCTGGACATGTAATCTAGCAGATTATGGTAATAAGTCTGTCGTGTATATGGATAGGTAAGCTTGCAGATTATGCTAATAGGTCTGTCGAGCTACTGTACAGGTAATGTCTAATAGAAAATTTACCGTTTCATCTTTGGAGTGAGGATGAATTAGACATTTTTTTATTTGTTTAGATATCAACATTTACCGGTGCTTGGACATGTAGACTATTCTTGAATCATTCAGTACTTGCCAAGGTGGTGAATGTCTCACTTATCCACTACTTTCCAAAATGTGGAATGGTCTATTCATCGAGTCCTTGTCAAGATATTGAGTCTTCTATTCATCTAGTACTTGCCAAAATGACAAAAGTTCTACTCATACGTTGCTTGCTTGCCAAGGTGGTGAATGTTTTACTTATCTAGTAATTGCCAATATGTTCAATATTATTCATCGAGTACTTGCAAAGAGGGCCAATGTTCTATTTATCCAATACTTGCCAGGATGAAAAATATTCTATTCATCCAGTACTTTTTAAGTAGGCGAATGTTCTAATCATTCAATAAATGCCAATAAATGCCATAAATGCCAATAAATGCCAATAAATGCCAATAAATGCCAATAAATGCCAATAAATGCCAATAAATGCCAATAAATTCAATGACACCTTGTATACAGCTGATATAGACTCATTGTATCAGCGCTATTAAATGTGTACATTTTCGTCAGGTCTAATTTCGGTTTATTTCAAATTTTAGCCACGATCGCACTGTAAATTATATACAAATATTTAAAAATTCAAGTACCATATAATGTGATTCGCTATTATAGATATTTCTCTAGTCTAAACATATCTCCTATTTCTCTAGTCTAAACATATCTCCTATTTCTCTAGTCTAAACATATCTCCTATTTCTCTAGTCTAAACATATCTCCTATTTCTCTAGTCTAAACATATCTCCTATTTCTCTAGTCTAAACATATCTCCTATTTCTCTAGTCTAAACATATCTCCTATTTCTCTAGTCTAAACACATCTCCTTTTTCATCGGTCTAAATACGTCGCCTATTTCACTAGTTTAAACGCATCAGATTTCTCTAGTCTAAACACATCTCCTATTTCTCTTTTCTAAACACATCTTCTATTTATTTAATCTAACCATATCTCCTATTTCTCTAGTCTATACACGTCTCCTATTTCTCTAGTCTATAACTTCTCCTATTGCATTAGTCTAAATAAATCTATTATTTCTCTAGTCTTAACCCATCTCGCATTTCACTAGTCTAAACACATCTTCTATTTCTCTAGTCTATAACATCTCCTACTGCACTTGTCACTTGTCTAAGTACATCTCCTGTTTCCCTAGTCTAAACACATCTCCAATTTCATTAAACTAAACACATCTCTTATTTCACTAGTCTAAATACATCTCCAATTTCATTAAACTAAACACATCTCTTATTTCACTAGTCTAAACACATCTCCAATTTCATTAAACTAAACAAATCTATTATTTCACTAGACTAAACACATCTGTTATTTTGACATGCATTCTAGCAAAGTAGATGCTAATTCATCAGAAGCAACGATTCGAATGAAGATGTCTGAGCGAATGAAGAGTGGTATCATCATGACGCTATCCTATCAATTGATGAGAGGCAGTGTTATATCCTTCATGAGTGTAAGTACAAGTTCTTCCATCAAACAACGAACGTTGAACAATTGTCTTAATATGGAAGACACGATCTTTAAATAGTAATTTTGGGGAAGACATGAACTTTAAAAAGTCATAGTAGGGAAGACATGAACTTTAAAAAGTCATAGTAGGGAAGGCAAGACCTTTTTAAATAGTCATACAGTAGAAGACATAAAAAGTTTCTATAATCAATATCTCATCTTTTAATATTTATTGTTTTGTAATTTAGGAATGTTTTATGATTTTAAACTTAGGAATATTTTATGATTTTTAATTTAGGAATTGTTTAATGATTTCTCATCTAATACTATTTTATGTTTTCTAATTTACGAATTTTATATGATTTTAAACTTCATAATATTTTATGATTTTTAATTTATGATTTTTTTTAATGATTTAAAACTAGCAATATTGTAACATTATTATTTATATAGGAATATTTGAATAAATTCTTTTTATTCTTACTGTTATTCTCTAGGAATTTTTCCACGTATATGTGAGACCATCCAACCAGACTGGTCCCTTTCCCCCAGATTACATTCACGTAAGGATCCCACCTCACAAACAGACCGATGAAAAGGACATAACTCAAGAAAAGTGTCGGTAAAATTGGTTTGCTCCCCTGAGACTGCAAAGTAGCACGACGCCCCCACCAAAACAGATCAATAAAAGAATTAACAAAAGTTTATAAATAATCATTTAAAACTGAAAAAATACAAAGCGATCTTAAAATAATTATTGAAACATCTTTTTCGTTTTCGTATTTGAATACTTAAGTTGACATAAATGGGAAGAAAATTTGAAAGTTTAAAGTGAACTAAACCTTTTTTATTTAAAAGTACTGTTTCGTCCCTTCTACATTTTAGTGAGCATATTTATATCTTAAAGTTCATTGCTAATGTAATACTTTAATTGAATGAAATGATATTCTGTAGAAAAATATAATAGAGTAAGTTAGAGATAGAGAGAACCGGAGATAAAGAGTGAGTGATGGAGCAAGAGGGTAAGATAGAGAGTTAGTGATGAGAGAGTGAGAGAGAGAGAGAGAGAGAGAGAGAGAAAGAATGAGAGAGATAGATAAGGAAAATGAGAGAAAAATAGTTATGGAAAGAGGGTGGGAGATAGGGAGTAAGAGAGAGAGAGTGGGAGAGAGGGAGAAAAAGAGTGACAGATATTTATAGACAGAGAGTGGAAGAGAGAGTGATAGAGTAATTAGGAGAAGGAGAGTGGGATGACAAGAAGCAGAACTTGCTGTCTTGTGCTCATCTACCCGTGATGATACGAGTCTACAAGTTCGGCTGTTGTCTCCCACTTCATCACACAGGCCAGTGTAACTGATAGCAACTGACACCAAGACACCAAACACCAACCGGTTTGTTCCACACTATAAGTTTATTCACCAACAATTCCTTTAACTATTGCTGTTATATAAATTACGATTGCTAGCCAAGACGTTCCAGCAAAACACTAAACAACACACAAGTTAAACAGTCAATATCGTACAAGGGCCATCAATCCACCCTAGTTAGAACACAAAAACTAACGCAGCATCTCCCCCTACCCAAATACGTCATAAAGATCTCAAACAATAGTCACAGCCACACACATAATCTCTACCTTAAACATCTTTTACATACCAAACATAACAGTGATTCTCATACCCTTGACATGGGAGAAAAAGAGAGGGAAATAGTGGGAGAGAGAAACTGGAAGAGAGATAGAACTTGGGAGAGATAATGAGAGATAGCGGGAGAAAGTGAGTAGGGGAGAGAGTTTGGGAGAAGAGAAAGACACGTGTTAGGATATAGAGTGGAATAGAGTGAGTGAGAGAGATTCATGTGGCGTGATATGTAGAGAGAGAAAGAGAGAGAGAGATAGTGGAGAAAAAGAGAGTTCGAGATAGAGAGAGGAGGAGAAAGAGAGATATTGGGAGGTGAGGGTGGGAAATTGAGAGCTACAGTATGAGATAGATTGAGGGAAAGAGAAAGGAATAGTGAGAAGGTGGTGGAATGAGAAAGTTTGAGTAAGAGAGGGGGTGAGGGAGGTGGAGGGGTAGAAAAAAGGGAGAGAGGGGAGCGGGAAGACTAAAGGAGGGAGGGGAGAAGAAGAGGAGGGGATCAGAGGACAGATAGAGAAAAGAGGGAGAGGCTGTGAGGCTTCAGATCACATATGCCATGTGTTACCTCTACTGGGAGGCTTCAGGTTAAAAAAAAACATGTTAGATGTTTAACTTACTTTACTGAAGACCAACTAAGCCTTGTCATCCTGTTGTTAGGTTAGGGTTAGGGTTAAGGTTAGGGTTTACTGAAGACCAACTAAGCCCCGTCATCCTGTTGTTAGGTTAGGGTTAGGGTTATGGTTAGGGTTAGGGTTAGGGTTTACTGAAGACCAACTAAGCCTTGTCATCCTGTTGTTAGGTTAGGGTTAGGGTTATGGTTAGGGTTAGGGTTTACTGAAGACCAACTAAGCCTTGTCATCCTGTTGTTGGGTTAAGGTTAGGGTTATGGTTAGGGTTAGGGTTAGGGTTTACTGAAGACCAACTAAGCCTTGTCATCCTGTTGTTAGGTTCAGGTTAGGGTTATGGTTAGGGTTAGGGTTTACTGAAGACCAACTAAGCTCCGTCATCCTATTGTTAGGTTAGGGTTAGGGTTATGATTAGGGTTAGGGTTAGGGTTTACTGAAGACCAACTAAGCCTTGTCATCCTGTTGTTAGGTTAGGGTTAGGGTTATGGTTAGGGTTAGGGTTAGGGTTATGGTTAGAGTTAGGGTTAGGGTTTACTGAAGACCAACTAAGCCCCGTCATCCTGTAGTTTATCTCTCTCCAATTTAAGTTTCAAATCAATGTGCCCCATCGTCTGTGACGCTATCGGTGACGATGTTGAGAAAGTTGACTTGATTCAAGTCAACCCTGACGGCACGCGATTTGAACTGGAACCAGCGACCCACAGGTAATCATTCCATGTCTTGAGTTTGATTCAAATTATTTTTTTTATAATTTAAGAATTCAAACATATTTTCCAGAAAATGCTTTAGTGAGTCTCATTTCAATGTTTCAGTCAATAGCATAATGTGGTTTCGTCTGTGTCTATCATAGTAGCCTCTGTGTGACGATTGTTACGGGTAAAGTATAAGGTAAAAAATGATTAGTCGATTAAAGAAATACTTATTTCTATATATTAGTAGCCCACACAAGCAACTAAAGTTGTTCATTTTCTTTTTTTTTTTATCTCTCAATCAGTTTCAATTATGGATTCGATTCCAAATATTCAAAGTCCAATACCATCTTTGTGAAGGTGGACGAGTCCTTCAATGAAGATGTTAAGTATTTGTGTGTGGCCACCAACAAAAATGGCAACCAGGCAACTCATTACTTCGCCATCAACACTTACATCCCGCTGAAAATTATCGGAGACAAGTCTTCCATTGTCACAGACAATGTAAGTAAATGTCTGCTGTTTTTGTCTGACTCTTGTGGAGGAGAGACTCAATTTACAAACTGTATCTGAGTGGTGTAGAGGATAAACAAACTTGACACAGTTATTAAAATCTTTATTTTATTTCAAACATTGATATCAGTAGAATATTCAAATTAGCAGTAGAGGAAAGATATAAAAAAAAAACAACTAACATGACCCAAAAAATGACCAGACCTAATAATTGACTAGATCAAATAAATGGCTAGACCCAATTAATGACTAGACCCAACAAATGACTGGACCCAAAAATGACAAGATTCAACAAATGACTAGACCCAATAAATGACTAGACCCAATAAATGACTAGACCCAATAAATGACTAGACCCAATAAATTACTAGACCCAATAAATGACTAGACCCAACAAAGGACTAGACCCAACAAACGACTAGACCCAACAAAAGACTAAACCCAATAAATGACTAGACCCAATAAATGACTAGACCCAATAAATGACACCATCCAACAAATAACTAGGCCCCACAAATGACTAGACTAAATATATAACAAGATTCAACATATAACTAGACCCAAAATGACTAGACCCAATAAATGACTAGACCCAACAAAAGACTAGACCCAACAAACGACTAGACCCAACAAACGACTAGACCCAACAAATGACTAAACCCAATAAATGACTAGACCTAATAAATGGCTAGACCCAATAAATGACTAGACCCAACAGAAGACTAGACCCAATAAATGACTAGACCCAACAAACGACTAGAACCAAAAAAAAAAAAAAACAAAACCAAAAAAAAAACAAAACCCAAAAAAAAACCAAAACAAAAAAAATAGACCCAACAAAAGACTAGACCAAATAAAAGACTAGACCCAACAAAAGACAAGAACAAAAAAAAAAAAACTAAACCCAATAAATGACTCGACCCAATAAATGACTAGACCCAATAAATGACTAGACCCAACAAATGACTAGACCCAACAAAAGACTAGACCCAATAAATGACTAGACCCAATAAATGACTAGACCCAACAAATGACTAGACCCAACAAATGACTAGGCCCCACAAATGACTAGACCAAATAAAGGACAAGATTCAACAAATAACTAGACTCAATAAATGACTAGACCCAATAAATGACTAGACCCAAAAAAAGGACAAGACCCAAAAAAGGACTAGACCCAACAAACGACTAGACCCAACAAACGACTAGACCCAACAAACGACTAGACCCAACAAATGACTAAACCCAATAAATAACTAGACCCAATAAATGACTAGACCCAATAAATGACTAGACCCAATAAATGACAAGACCCAACAAACGACTAGACCCAATAAATGACTAAACCCAATGCATGACTAGACCCAATAAATGACTAGACCCAATAAATGACTAGACCCAACAAACGACTAGACCCAACAAATGACTAAACCCAATAAATGACTAAACCCAATAAATGACTAGACCCAATAAATGACTAGACCCAATAAATGACTAGACCCAACAAATGACTAGACCCAACAAATGACTAGGCCCAACACATGACTAGTCCAAATAAAGGACAAGATTCAACAAATAACTAGACTCAATAAATGACTACACCCAATAAATGACTATATCCAATAAATGACTAGACCAAATAAATGACTAGACCCGAAAAATGTATAGACCCAATAAATGACTAGAACCAATCAATGACTAGACCCAATTAAATGACTAGACCTACCAAATGACTAGACCCAATAAATGACTAGACTTAATAAAGGACTACCGCTACAAGTTCATTGCTGTAATGTAAGTCAATAGCCTCAGTTTTATTCTCTTTCATTCTGTAATTTTTAAATTAATTTTATAAGTTATCATTTGTAATTAGCGCTATTTTAGGTATCGTTATTTATTACTGTATTTATTTAATGGGTTTTTCCCTTGTTGTGTATTGTTTATCAACAAGCCATATATTTCAAAAAGAGATTAAATTATCTACAATTATAACGGTACCAATGACTTCCACTTTGTAGAATTTACGTCCAATTCTTTGGACTGCCCTTGACAAACTCGCGACCTCCACATCATGATCCCCATAGTTTGTCCAAGTCCTAACACCTTCAAAATCAACATGTCCCTGTTGAACACTATGCAAACAAAGCTCTTGTACAATATC